CTAAAATTGTTCAATTAAAATTAGAGGAGTCAAAATTACATAACTAGATATTTAAGATACTAAAATTGCTCAATTATTTGTAGTAATTAATTTTATATTTAATTTAATCAATTATTAAATATAATAAGAAAATAAAAATAAAATTATTTTTAAAAAAAATTAGTATATGTACTATCAAATAAATTATTATCTAATAATAAATTGATAAGTACAATAAAATTATCGATTGTTGTAATATTTATCTTTAAAATTATTAAAATAATGTCAATATAAACTTTTAAAAAATATTATTAATATATTATCTAATATATTTATCTTTAACATATTATTTTGTTTAGTTAAAATTTATTAAAATTATAAAATTATGAGAAATTTATTAAATAGGAAGTCAAACTAAAAAATTTAGTGATTTAACAAATTTTAATCCACAAAAACGAAATATACAACGGAGTATTAAATTGATCTCATTGGGAGCAGTGACATTACAAAAAAGAATTAAATACAAAGACTAGCCTTCCAAGAGACATAATGGCACCATATATTTTTTTTAAAAATAAATTATATCCTCTAGACCTCTACTTGAATGATACTAAAAAAAATAAAATATCAAAGATACTCCCCATTAGAAAATAGCCAATTCAATTATTAAAAAAAAAAATTGATCTCCCATTTAAAAGAAACGGCACTTATTTAAATTATTTAAAATAAGTGTTGTTGGAGTCATGTACGAAATCTATTAATATATATCACTTTGTTTCTACTTTTCAATTATTTTAAAAAATTAAAATAAAATTACGTGATATATAGGATTATTTTGTGTCGACTAACAACCCTTCTATTAATGATACAATATTTTAAAACAACTTTCTTTATATAATATATTTACATAATGCCCTCTAGTAAAAATCTAAAAAAAAAAAAAGTTTATTAATAAAATCTAATCCTATGTTTGTTTTAAGCAAAATAACAACGAAATATAATAGAAATATAAGAAACAGTACAATAGCAATATTTTCATAGATTTGGTTGAAGGAAAAACATCGGAACAAAAATAATTATTGTAAATCCCACTAAAAAATATTTCTCACCCCTAATGTAAAGAAATGGTGAAGAAATTTATGAACTAGTCTTCTCTCTCTAGTGATATTAATTTTTCTCCTACCCATCATCTCCCTTTCTTAATCTGTGCTTGTGACTCATAATCAATTTTTATTTTAAATTTTCAAATTTATATTTTACTATTAAATTATTTTAAATTATAATTTATAATTATATTTTTAAATAAATTTTAAGTATTATTTACTCATAATAATAAATATTAATTTTATTCTAATATAATTTCTTTTCTCTTCATCTATTCAAACCAAATAACTTCACAATAATATTTCTCTTCTATTTCTCACGTATTTTCCTTAAATTAAACATATTAATTTTTACTGTTTTTTTTAATCTATTTATATTCACCTATTTCTCTTTTCTAATTTTTTTTTTCATTTTATTTTATTTATCTATTTCTTTCCTCAAAATCAAACACAGGGGAAAAGCATATTGGAGTATATGGATTGGTGACATGGTTGAAACGATGATTGAGAAGTGAATGGTGCCACGTGGAGAAGAATCCCTGAAGGATCAAAGACTTGGTGGAGATCCATTATGACGTGGCACTGATTCCCACAGTTGGCAGTTGGTACTTGGTAGAGCTAGATATTTTCCACCTCCATCATACCAACCACTTCTATTTTCTTAAACGTTACTCTACCTCAACCTTTCTTTTTTCTTTCTCACACTCAATTTCCTATCGTCTATAATAATTTTAAGATTCTTTTTTTTTTTTTAAACTATGTTAATATCTATTTTTTATTAGTAATTATTTGTTATTTAAATAACAGAATAGAATATGTTTGATAAGATATCTCAGAAGTTTATAAATTGATCTTATTAATAGCTTTACTTGATACAATAATTTATTTTATAAGCTTACTATAAGTTGTTAGCTTATAAGTTAATCTAATTAAATATTTTTAATTTAATCAGTAAATTTATAAATTTATAGTATTTCAATTCTTAATTTATAATTTTCCGTTAATTTGTAAAATTTCATCTAATATATAAGTTTATTTTTACTAAACACGTCTTTAATTAATCACTTTTTTTTAGTGAAATTCTTACTTTTGATCACTTTTTTTATTAAAAAGTTTGAACCTATAAAAACACCATTTTTAATTTTTTTTTCCATTTAATTTTTTTTTATTTATATATGAAACAATGAAGAAAAAAAGCATTAATAAAATTTATTATCACATTACAAAATACTTTAATATTTTCATAAAATTTAACATATTGCATCTCACAACAAGAAAATATATATTAAATAAAGCACAAAAATACCACTTGATTAAATACGAAGAGGTCATATTCTCAATTTGATTTTCTCTAAAATAAATTTATAAAGCATTTCTATAACATGGTGATTTTTCTAAAGGCAATAAAAACCAGGGCATATTGCTTTCTAAAAGAAAATATTTATAAAAAAAAAAAAAAAAAAGTTCGGGAGAGACGAGGTTTGAGTGCGTAGGAGAAAAAGACACGAGAAACATGCGTAGCCTAACGAGAACCAGATAAGAAAAAAATCAGAAAAGTCACTGTTTAGTTCCACAATATCACATCATTAATAATTTCAATCAATTTATGTTGTTGCAACTTCGAAACCAAGAGAGCTTCATTTCCTTACATCTTTGATAAATGGAAGGTACTGTATTATTTTAAAAAATTAGTATTAATTTTATTATTTTAACTAATATGCAAGTTTAGTTATTTAGTTGGTGTTTTTTTTTACAACTTTTAATTTTTATTACTAAATTTACAATTTTTATTCTTTAATTTGAAGAAATATCAAAGTAAATTCCACAAAGAAATTGTTATTTATTAATACAATATATTGTTGAACAATAGACGGTAATAATGTTTCTGATGCTATTGGTGCCGGAAAGGAAGGTTGCTCATGCAATGGCTTTATTGTATTAGGTATATAAACATCTTTTCCTCGTTTTTTTTCTTGTTATAGACATGGGTGTTGGGCATAAAGTGTTTTTTCTTGTTGAAGAAACTTATAATAACATGTTGATTGTTTACTATATTATATATATTAATAATGGTATTCTTATTCTTATACACAATTTCCATTATTGAATAAAAAAGTTGTGTTGATTTGATGAATAGAAAAAAAAAAAGTAGTTTTTATTTTTAAATTGATAAGAAGAAAAGAGAGTAAAAATAAAAAATATTTTACATTAAATATATCTATATAAATTAAAAAGTACCCAATTATATTTTCTTAACATAAAATTATTTATTGTTTTAAAATTTTATATTTTATAAAAAAATATTTCTTTTAAGAAATTGAAAATGAAAGGTATAATTTTTCCTCAGTACTAGTCAATTTGATGGAAAAGATATTTTGATTTAGTACATAAAAGTAACTTTTTTGTTTTATTTCTTCTCTGAAACAAATATTTTAAAATAATTCTATCTTATCCTTGTTTTTCTATTTTCTTCGATTGAATTTCTATTATAACACGGAGAGGCATTGTGTTTAAACTGTAAAGTATTGTGATCCACGTATGTTTGTTGTTTTTATTGGTAGACATAAATAGGTTGGGTTAATTAAAAAAAAAAAGAATGTACATAATAATTATAAATGAAAAGATGTCACATAAATATGTTGGGTTTGGTGAAAAAATAAATACTTGTTACCAAATCAAAGTACATCAAATTTTAATGTATCAAATAGAGTTCAATCAGAACATCAACAAAATCCGAATCGAAGTGTTAAGTTCAGGTTGAGTTAAACTTGTTGTGGATGTGAAGTTTATATTTTCTGGAAAAAAAAAATAAAGTGATATTTTATTACCTAAAAAATTAAATATATTACTCCTAGAACAATGTTGAAGAGGGGTAATAAATAAATTTTAAGAAATACAATAAAATATATATTTTAAATTAAAAATTAAGTATATATATATATATATATATAAGATTACTGAAGCACCCCCACCTCCTTTTAAAACCATCCTTGGTTATTTTATTGAAGTTTCAACGTAGTTAAATGACTACTTTAATTTATTTATTTTCATTGCTTAACGTGTATCTAAAAAATGTTATTAATCCTCGTAAAAAATGTTTATAATTATTGACTAAATTGTAAATAAGATTTATTAATAAAATAAATATTAATTTGAATAGCGAATATTGTATTAAAATATAAAATAATGGAGATGAAAAAAAGGGTAATGATAAAAGGTAAGTAAAGAAAGTCGGGGACAGAGACATTAATAATAAAGAATTAATATATGTAAAAGAAAGGGAAGACATAAAAAATAATAATATTAATATAAAGCAAGTGGCGTTGCATGTCTGGTGAGAACCTAACATCGTAGCCACAAATAAAACAAAAGGACAGAAATAAGCATTGGAAAGCAAAAGGCAGAGTTTCGCATTGCTTGCGTTAGTTGTTTAAAAAACATACATGCTGAGTGCTGACTCATGACTCGAGAGAGAGAGAGAGAGTGGTATTAAATATTAATATAAAATTCATCTCATTCATGTCAATTGTCAAGAGAATAACCCAACACAACACTCTCTCTCTCTCTACAATCTACCTTCCATCGGATCGGGAGATG